AACAAATGAACATACATGTGACAGAAGGGACTGTAACTGTTACATACTCTGATAATGCAGGAATCATAATACATACAAATAAATGAAATGGCAGGAGTACAGAACATAAAAGTGGAATCAACTCACTGACTGCACCTTACAGTAATAATCAGAGATGAAAGTCAAGTAGTAAAACTTTAAGCAAATATAAAGAATAAAACAATGCTATAATGGTTAAAACTAATTAGTAAAGGAGAGGTACGAAAGAAAGGAAGAGAAAAAAGCTAATATAATTGTAAATCATTACAGAAAATAAAGGACACTGCTTTAAAAAAGAAAGTCGAGTATTATTAAGTTATAAGTATAAAGGTAACCATTAATAGGGAAAAGAAAATCTTCCTAATATAAAAACTATCAATTAAAAAGCACAAAACAGACCACTTAGTTTAAAAAACATGTAATCAGAAGATATAACATAATTTGACACAACTGAGAAGAAACATGTATGTTATTCCTATCTACCTGGTTCAACTGATCCATTCATTAACAGAAAGCTTTGGACTGACCCACAAAGTAAAACCACTCTATGCTGTGGCCAAGATGTATTTGTAATTTAGGAAATACAAGAAAATTTATAGGAAATTAAAAATTAATGGATAAGGTTCACAAAAACATGGACTGTAATCTTTAATTTGGATAATATAAACAGACTTTGGCCCAAAAGTATTAAAAAAGTCATTTTACTATTGTAAAAGATAACAATTCACAATGAAGAAAACACGTATGCATGTGCTCCCCAGAAAACGGCAACATTCAAAAGGAGAAATGATAGGATATAAAAGGAGAAATAACAAAATGATAGGAGATAAAAGGAGAAAAGGAGAAACAATAATAATAAATTTAAATTTATTTCTACCAGTCTGAGAAAACAAGTAAACAAAAATAAATAAGGAAATAAATGATCTAATAAACAACATAATCAGAATGGTAGGGCTGATGGACATTCATTTAACTCTACCAAGTAAGTGAATATACCATAACTTTAAAGATTATTGAACTTTTATAAAAATTGACCAAATATTTAGCTACAAAAATATCTCAACAAATTCTAAAAGCAGAAATACAAAACATTCTCCGATTAAACAACACAAGAGAAATTTATAACAAAATCAGAAAAAAAAAAAATCTCCAATCTGAAAATTTATAAAGTCTCTCCAATAACATTGGGTAATTGGGAAAATACAAATAAAATTTGTGCTGTTTCTAAAAAATATAATAAAAATACTACATATTAGAAGCTCTGGAATATAGCCAAGGCGGTGATCAGAAGAAAATTCATTGTTTTAAATACTTTTATCAATAAGAAAATATGAAAGTAAATGAGTTACTAATATAGCTCCAAAAGTTAGAAAAACAAATAAATTAAAGAAAAGTAGAGAAAAAAAATAAAGCTAAAAGCAGAAATTAGGAAGGTAAAAAACAGAAAGCCCGAAAAATGAAAAAAATTTTCAAAAGCTCTTTTGCTGAGGCAGGGGTATGGGGGTAAGTCATTTGATTAAACTACTACCTCTCCTAATCAACAGCAAAAATAAAAAGGACAAAACAAAACATGCAAAATAAGAAATAAGGGTAAGCCATAAAAATAGACAAAATTTAAAAAAAAATAAGAAACTACTTTATAAAACTATATACAAATAAATATAGATAAAATAATTTCCAAGTAAGATATAACCTACCAAAACTGAACCCAGAGACCCTAAACAGACTGACTTTCACAAAATAAGGGATGAAGTTTTAAAAGAACTACCTACCTACCAACCAAACAAAATACATAGGCCACAAGAGTTTACATGGAAATTCTACCAAATCTTAAGAGCTGATAATTTCAATACTATTTAAAAACTGTTGTACATTTTAAAAAATAGAAAGCTTCTAAATTCTTTATAAAATGTAACATTAATCCCAAAACTTAAAAAAGACTTCACAAAAAAAGAGAAGATTGCAGGTCTGATCCATCTTACTTTTGCATTTTAATTAAAAGAACAAAGTACTAACAAACACAATTCAGCATCACATTAAAGGACTCCAAAAACATTAGTTTAGTTCAATATTTGTTTAAAAAAAAGAAGTTTCATATCACTAGTTCTATAAATGTTAAATTTATGGAGAAAATTCAACCTCCATTTCTGATTGAAAGTACTTAATAGGAAGCAAGAGATGCTCTTATGCATACACGTGTGTATGCATTATACTTAATGTAAACATGTTGGAAGCAGTCTTTCTAAAGTTGGAAATAAAAAGAGGATGTCCACTAATCACTAATGTTTAACATTGTCCTGTCTAATAAGTCAATACAACCTGTTAAGAGGTATAAAAATCCGAAGAAAGAGGTAAGTCTATCACTATCTGTAGATGAAATGATTATAATCAAGATACTCCAAGAAAATCACTTAGAAGACTACTATAAACAATAATGGGATTCAATAAGGCAGAGAGAAATGTTGTATACAGAAATCAAAAGTCTTCATGTATATAAGTAATAGCCAGTTACAATCTATAAATGCGTTTAATAGCAACAATAAGGAAGAAAATATCCAGAAATGTACAAATTTTATATGAAGAAAACTTTAAAACATTCTTAAGGAAACAAAAGTAATCTTGAATGAATGGAATGATGTAGTATTTTCTTTGACAGAAAGATTCAATATTTTAAGGATGCCAGTTTGTCCTACATTAGTTTATTAACATGAGATTTCAGTAAAAATAACAGCCCATTCCCCAACACCTACCAGATCTAAACAAGGTGTTTCTAAAGCTTATATAGTAAAATAAATAAATAGGAATGGCCTGGAAAAACCTGAAACAAAAAATGAAACTAATTCTAGTAGATATTAAAGAGTCGTAAAGAAACTATTGATCTATACTTTTAAATGTTTGTGTGTGTAGACACACACATAAACACACAGATACATTTCTATGTGGCAAAAAGCAAAAACAAAAACAAGACTAGGCTAAAGGCTTTCAAAAGACAAATAACAACCAAGGGATATTATATGTGATTCACAACACAGAAAAAGGGCTAGTCTCTTCAATTTAGAAAGTTCTCTCAGGAAATAAGACCAAACACACAACAGAAGAAAAAATGGGCAAAGGACATAAACAGTTAACAGAAAAGAAAGGTGGCCCTTACATATATGAAAAGGAGGTCAAATGGAAAACAAAAGCATGTAGTGAAACTATTTCTTGCAAATCCAACTGACAAAAACATAGGTTGACACCTACATAGGCAAAGGCATAAGGAAACAGGTAGTCGCAATCGTTGGTGCAAATATTTATAACCTTGGTGGAGGGCAATCTGGCAATAACAATCAAAATTACAAATATGTTTGCTCTTGACCCATTAATCTCACTCCTGGAATCTATCTTAAAGAAACATCTACATATATATGAAATGATATTCTGAAACAGGATATACTTAAAAACAGCAGTAGCACATCTAAAGGAGACTTTCGAAATATATCCCCTCAATGATGTATCTCCACAATGGCAGATGCAGCTGAAAAAAATGAGGAAACTATGTACTGATCTAGAAAGATCCAGGGATCCTTGGAGTAATGGCTGATTCCAGGTACAGGTAAGAAAAATAAGATGAGCCTGGAACATGCTGCTGTGCCAATAAGCAAGAAAGCTATTAGACTAATGAATTATCAATAGGACATTGTGATTTTTCTGCATAAGAATTCCATCTAATGCAAAAGGAGTAACAGAATTAGAAAAATGCCAGTTGATAAACCCTAGTGAAATAAATGGTTCAGGTAACAATGATCAATGAATGGAATATTAGAAATTGAAAGGCTGATTGGGAAATTTTAATGGAGAGATCAAGCCTACTGATCTCTGAACCTACTAATCAATCTTAATCATTAAAAAATAGGACCTCTAAATACTGTGTGCCTAATATGATACAATATGAAGCACTTATAAAGTACTTTGGTCTAGAATTGAATCAAGCCTCTTCAAGCCTCTAGGGCCAACTTCCATTTTCAGGAAATATAGGGGGTAGAGGAACATGTAATGACACCACAAGAAAACAAAAAACAAACCCATATTTTTAGATATTCTGCAGGACAACTGAAAATAAGCCAATGGAATTTAAAAAAAAAGAAAGAAAGAAAAGGAAAAACCAAACAAAATAAAACAAGAGGGAAGGAAATGGGACTACTACATTAAAAAAGGCCTAACAGCCAAATGTAAGGTGTGAATCTTGTCTAATCCTGATTAGATCCAACTAACTATAAAAAGATATTTGAAACAATCAGGGAAATCTGATTATAGATAGCGTAGTAGAAGCTATAAATAAATGATTATTTTCAGTTTTCTTATATATGATAAGGACATTGTGACTGTATAAGAAAACATCCATATTTTTAAAGGTGCATACCGAATCAGTAGGGACAAGATAACATTCTGGGATTTGACTTAAAAATACAGTAGAGGAAGAAATGGAGATAGCTTAAGATAGAAAAAAAATATTGACAATTTGGATAATAGCTATAGAGGTGGCAGTTTATTATACTCTCTCCTTTACATAAACTCAAAAAATCTGAGAACACACCTAAAAATGGATGCAATTAGCACATTAAGCATCAGCAATAGGTGTAATGCTAGGGGTCACCATGACCAAGAGACTTCTCTTCCTGTAAAACATATATTCATAATGAAATACTGACTTAGGGTTATTAAAAGGGCAAAAGTGAGTTATAATAGAAGATAGCTCTGCTAATCAAGTCAAAGCTTTTATATTTGCTTTCGTAGCAAACCAAGACAAGTTCTGTGTAAAGGTTTGCTAAATGAAATGTGTTATAAATGTAAAGGTTTTCTGATTTGTCTTAATATATGTCCAAATATTACTTCAAGACACCAGTACACATAATTATACATAAAATGCACACATACATATTACACATGAACAAGCCATACAGAAATCAAGTAATACAAGAATATGGTTTTAGTTCTCTTACCATCAATATTAAGCATCATTTTCCACATGGCAGGCCGAACAGATTGATGGAATCCAAACCAAACTTCCCTGCCCCCTCCCAGAGGGTGGTCATATCCTTCTGGAGCCGAGAAAAAGGAACGCCCCACAGGTGTATATCTACAAAAATCAAAATAGCATGTTCAATTCTTCCTTCCTATATAAGCATTTAAATCTGCAAAAAAGGTGATTCTGGAGCACATAACTTACATTATTATAATGATGCTTATCATTATGAATATATGAAACTATATTTTCACAAATTTTCCAATTTGTGAAAGCAAAAAGCAGCCATTCTAAATGAAAAAGTCAGCATCCTTCACGGAAATTCTCTAGCGTTAGAACTAATGTTAGTTTCAATAAGAATAAATTTTATTTAAAATACTTTCTTAAAAATAGATTTAAAAAGTTAACAGTTCCAATCGTAGAAAATATTATAGTAAATAATTATTGATTGAAAATCTATTTCTATAAATGTTTGTAAGACATTTTTCTTAAAAAGACATAGCTTATTTGGTCCTGTATATATAAACACAGATACACACATGCACATGTGAGGAGCTACTGTGATTAAAACAACAGCCATTTCAACACAATTTGACACTATTATACTAACAATGAAATTGCCTTTAAAACAAGGTGATTTAACTATAGGAATATATCTGAAAATATACCAGTAACCCAAAAATCTCAATAAGCTCCAAAATCTAAGAAAACACCTAAAAATGGATGCAATTAGCACATTAAGCATCAGCAGTAGGCATGTTAGGAGTCACCATGACCAAAAGACTTCTCTTCCTGTAAAACATGTGCAGCTCCTAGGAGAAAGGGTTACACATTTCTCTAAAAAATATCCATTAGAATAGCTAAACTAATAAGGTGTATCTACTGTCAAAAGTCATAATTTTCTGTAACTTACATCTGTCAATGAACTTGTATGCCTGCTATTCTTCAACTGAAATAATAAAAAATATACAACATCTGAATGTTAACCAAAGGAGGCCTGTACAACTCTTGGGAGGAAAGCCTTCACATTTAAAATTTAAAGATAAAAAATAAGCCAAAGGACCCACTTCATGGAGGGCAGATGTCGTAGCACCACATCAACGGCATGGACAGGATTAGTGCTGATTGGCTTGTCTAATTCCAGTGGCTCAGGCAAGGTCCGTCCTGTCAGTACTTCATGTAGTAGGTGCCAACTCACCCGAGAGACAAACTTGATTGACACCTTGAAAGGTCGATCTTTTCCACCTTCCCCAGGTAAAGTTACATCTAAATCTACCTGTTGATGGGAAAAAAGAGTCATCTGGTAAAAGTTGAAAAAGATAAATACAATTACTTTTAGCTTAACTTATGAAAATATTGAAGAGAAAACAAGGCAAGTATAATTTAGAAACTCAATCTAAGTGTCAAATCAATAGACTAAAATTTAAGTGACCATTATTTATGTCAGCATTATTTGTCATTGTAAAGTACTGGAAACTGCCTAAATGCCCAAACATTTAGGTGGCTATAAAAAATGAGGAAAATATCTTGGAATTGTTATGGAACGATTTCCAAGTGAAACTGTTAAGTTAAAAAAAGCAAAGTACAGAAGATTACAAATAGTATGTCATCTTTTATGTGAGAAAGAACAGGAAAATGGAAAAATCTTTATGTATCTGCTTATTTATACAAAAAGAAGCACAGGACACATAAAACAGAAACAAAGAAATTGGTTACTCTGAAAGGATGGGAAGAAACAAACTGGAAGAAATGAAAGAGGGATTAACAATTCAGAGTGTATTTTTCAGTATAGTTTTGACTTTTGAAAGCCTGTTAAATAAAGTTCTATATATTAAAAATAAAATCAACAAGGCTAGAGGAAAAAAGCTAGAACTGAATATAAACAAAATCAAATGAAACCAAATGCATTTCAAATGAATAATAAAACCACACCAAAAGAAGAAAAAGCAAGAAAGAAAACACTTATTCAAGTAACTCTTGAACACAGTATACTGACTATACTCAGCTGGCGGTGTGGAGGAGGGGTGAGTAGGAAAGATCGGCATACAAAATAAAACCTTAAACTCTTATTATTAGCTTGTTTTCTGTAGTGGTATAGTGCAGTAATTCAGATACTATTTTATATGTACTGTAGGACTGAACACATAAGTAAAAGTGGTGATGTTTTGAGGAGCCAGAGATTTAAAGATTTAAATATTTAATGTGAAGAATAAAGGAAGATTCCTGTGAGGATAGACTAGAACTGGAAGAATCGATTTGAAGTCATGATTTCCAACATTCAAACTACATATTATATACCATAAAGGGTTCTTGTAGGATAACTAAGTTAGGTTTACTATATACCATGTAATATTTATTTATTACTTATTGTCTGTTAGTTATATGTAAGTATGTACATATATGTGTATGTATTTCTATTTCCTACCTCTGTCCACTGAAAGGGCTTGGATGCACATAAACCCCAGTAGCAACGAGCACATGCAGTACCCAGATTTTGGTTTCTAAAATGCATCCCCAAACAAAAAAAACCAGTGTTCCTTTGAGAAATGGCAAGTTGCAGGACTTATGCAGGAAAAAAAATGAGATGAACCTGAAACTTCTTGTTCCACAAAGTAAGAAAGTACTCAAAGATTTTTTTAAAAAGGTGTATCACATCAAAAGGACACAGGAACCAATTTGGGCAGTGAAATAAATAAATAAATAAATAAATAAGAAGAAAATTCTCTTCCTTAATGTAGAGTAGCACCTAATAAATGTAGAAGGAATGAGAGAATTAGGAAATCACCATTACTATATAGTAATAATTCTTCCAAGCAAGAATTATCAATTATTTTAAAAGTCTAGTAAGAAAAAGGATTCTTAAAAGCATCATCCATATCAAAATTAAAAACTTCTGGGCATCAAAGGACAAAAACAACAAAGTGAAAAGGTAACCAATGGGATGTGAAGAAATATTTGCAAATTATGTATCTAATAAGAATGCATAAAGAAATCCTAAAACTCAACCACCACCACCAAACTCAATTAAAAAATGGGCAAAGAATTTGAATACGCATTTCTCCAAAGAAGATACACAAATGGCCCATAAGCACATAAAAAGATGCTGAACATCACCAATAATTAGAAATATGCAACTTAAAACCATAATCATATATCACATACATATTAGGATGGCTACTATTAACAAATCAGAAAACAAGTGTAAAGAACAAAGGTATAGAGAATTTGGAGACCTTGTGTATTGTTGGTGGGAATGTAAAAAGGTGCAGTTGCTGTGGAAAATGATATAGTGTTTTCTCAAAACATTAAAAATAGAATTACCATTTATGTGATCAAGCATCTCCACTTTTGGGTATATATACAACAGAACTGAAAGCAGGGACTAGAACAGACATTGGTACAACCATGTTTTTAGAAGCATTTTTGCAATAGCTCAAAGGTGTCCATCAATGCATGGACAAAACAAGAAAATGTGGTATGTGTATATATACACACACAATGAAGTGTTATTCAGCCTTAAAAAGGCAGGAAAATCCCTCCACATTTGACAACAGAGATCAACCTTGAGGACATTATGCTAAGTGAAATAAGCCCGTCACAAAAAGAAAATGTGTAATTCCACTTGTATGAGGTAATGAGAGTAGTCAAATTCATAGAGAGAGAGTAGAATGGTTTCCCTACCACTGGGTGGAAGGGAAAATGGGGCGTTAATGTTTAATGGGTACAGAGTTTCTTTACAAGATGAAAAGAGTTACGGAAATGAATGGGTGGTGGTGGTTGTGAATGTACTTAATGCCACAAAACTGTACTTTAAAATGGCTCAGATGGTCCTGACCCATGTGGCTCAGTTAGTTGGGCATCGTCCTGCAAAGCTAAAGGTCACTGGTTTGATTCCCAGTCAGGGTACATGCCTTAGTTGCAGGTTCGGTCCCCAGTCAGGATACCTACAAGAGGCAACCAACTCATGTTTCTGTCAACCAATTGGTATCCCTGTCTTACTCTCTCTCTAAAAATAAATAAATAAAATCTTTAAAAAATAAGCTGAAAAGAAGAAGATTCAGGATATTAAAAAGTGTTAAGAGCTTTATTTATTTTTTTAAATGGCTCGGATAGTAAACTTTATGTTGTGTATTTTACCACAAATTTTCTTAAAATTAAGATTTTATTTATTTATTTTAGAGAGACAGGAGGGGAGGGAGAAAGAGAAGGAGAGAAACATTGATGTGTGAGAGATACATCAACTGTATTCTACCACCATTTCTACAAGATGTTATCTCCCCACAAGGGCAAAGAGAAAAAGAATAAATTGACAGGAGAAACCTGGCAGAAAACTAACCAAGCGATCAAAGTTAACATCCCCATAAATGGAACAAATACATACTATGTGCTTCTTGATATGAGGCACTGATAAGGAAAGAACACTTATGTTATATTTCTGCCAAAAATCCTTAATCAGAATTTAACAAAGAGGAAGCATCAGATAAACTCAATCTGAGGGACAGTCTAAAAAATAACTTGCCTGCAATCTTCAACCATGTTAATGCCATGAAAGAAAAAAAAAAAAAAGGGCTGAGGAACTGTTCCAGAATAAAGAAAACTAGAAAGACATGATCTCTAAATATAAACATAAACCAGAACTTGATTCTGTACTAAAGGGGGAAAAATGCTAAAGGACATCATTGGAACGAATGACAAAACTGGAATATGGGTTGCTTATTAGACAAAAGTATCATGTATCACTGTAAAATTTAGTGAAGTTAATAACTGTACTATGGTTTTTATCTTTGTTCTTAGGAAATACACATTAAAAAGCATGGTGTATGCAACCTACTCTTGAATGGTCTAGGAAAAAAAATAAGTATGCATATGTACAGATACAGCTGTATCTATTAGATAAAGAGAGCAAAGGGGACAAAGAGAATATTAAAACAAATATGGCAAATATTAAGAACAACACTGGTTGAGTCTTGTTAGAGGGTACACATGAGTTCTTTATATAATTCTTACAACTTTTCCATAAGTTTGAATTATTTCAAAATAAAAATAAATTATTTCAAAAACAAAATAAAAATAAAAATAATATATGGGCTTTAATAAAATAATAAATGTATTTAAAAGAAGACATTGCAAAATTACAGCTTTCCAAAAAAGGAACACATATCTTACCCCAGTAGTTGCCACAGGAAGTGGATTGGCTGTGTAAAGGCTTCTTTTTCCATCATAAACTGGTCTACGGTCCCCAAATATAGTTACTTTAAAATGCTGAACCATTGAGTCAACCACCTCCCTAAAAAAGGGAAAAAATACATTCACATAATCCTCTATATGATGAAAATTTTTAAAAAATTTAACTAAAGTAATTTCTTACATTATTTAAAGCTCTTAAAATTCTAAAGGACAATCATACATGATAAAAGTCTTGCTTTCAGAACCATGGCTTGGGATACCAGAAAGGGATGGCCTGAACTTCACAAAAACAGACAAGAATGAATTCAGAGCCCTGGCTGGTGTGGCTCAGTGGACTAAGTGCCGACCTGCGAACCAAAGGGTCAAGGTTTCGATTCCCAGTCAGGGTATATGCCTGGGTTGCAGGCCAGGTCCCCAGTAGGGGGGGCGTGAGAGGCAGCCACACATTGATGCTTCTCTTCCCCCTTTCTCCCTCCCTTCACTTCTCTCTAAAAATAAATAGAATCTTAAAAAAATACATAACATGATTTAAAAAAACAAAAGAATCAATTCAAGAAATTACTGAATTGTCCTGGGCCACAGTTGCACTGGGAAATATTAACCTCAGAAACTGATCCAAAAATCCCTTTCACTGTCTCTAAGCACTACCTGACACATTCACCTCTTTTTGTGAAAGAGTTTGATGCTCTTTTCCATGTGCTCAAACAGCAACTAATACATATATCTATTGGAACACCTACTCCATTGTATTACAGTTATTATATATTTCACTTCTATTAGATTGTGAGATTCTTGACAGCAATAAACACACCTGTACTTCCTACCACCCCATCCTCCCCACCCCTCAACTTTACCATAGTAGCTAGCCAGTAAGGATATTTTGAAACCTGTTTTTACCCAGCAAACATTTTTATCCCACATACTTACATGGAAAGCTATACCAACTTTTTTTTTTAAAGTATAGATTATAGAAAGGATTACCAAATATCCAAAAGTGAATATTTATTTCTGTACACACATACTTTGTACACAGTGGAAAGATATCTAGAAGGACAGATACCAAAATACATACAGTGGTTACCTCTGGGGAGAGGTAGAGAGAGGAGTGATTTTAAATTTTGTTTATACAAATCTGAATATACTACAATGAGAGTATAGTTATATAGTACTGGTATACTTTATAACACATTTGCAAGAATTAAAAAAAATTCAGCTCTGGATGTTGTGGCTCAGTGGACTGAGTGATAGCCTGTGAACCTAAAGATCACCAGTTCTGTTCCCAGTCAGGGCACAAGCCTGGGTTGAGAGCCAGATCCCCAGTTGGGGGTGTGACAGAGGCAGCCTATCGATGTTATCTATTGCACATCAATGTTTTTCTCCCCCTCTTTATCCCTCCTTTCCTCTCTCTAAAAATAAATAAATAAAATCTTAAAAAAAAAAATTCAGTTCTACCCCAGTCAGGTGAGTAGATGAGAGGGAAAGGAGGAAAAAAAGCATTTTCTGGTACAAAATAATTAGGCCGGCTTGATACCCAGAGCAATTTTCTACATGCTTGAAGTTTCTATATTTTTTCCCCTTTACAATTTTATTGAAATTATTTAAGTGAAGTCAAGTATTTTTTACACTAAATTTTACAACTGAGATTTGATTTGCTAATCAGTTTTTAGGTACGAAATAAATTTCAAAAATTTTTTTTGACATTTTAAGTTTACTTTTGTGGCCATTATCATCAATTCCAGTTTCTCAGGTGAAATTTCACAGATTTAATTTGTCAGGATGTTTTGATTATTTTGTGACTTTTTTTTACTTAACAGTAAATTGGTGTAGTTTTAAAATATATATATATTTTAAAAAGATTTTATTTATTTTTAGAGAGAGGGGAAGGGAGAAAGAGAGGGAGAGAAGCATCAGTATGTGGTTGTCTCTCACATGGCCCCTACTGAGGACCTGGACCACAACCCAGGCATGTGCCTGGACTAGGAATTCAACTGGTGACCTTTTGGTTTGAAGGCTGACCCTCAATTCACTAAGCCACATCAGCCAGGACTCCAGTATTTCTTACATTACTCCTTTACTTTCCATTCCTTAATACCACTATCCTAAATTAAAACCTCATGTCCTAGTATTGATACCTGAATTATTTTTTGTTTTTTATACCTTTAATTTTTTTCTTCTCTAACCCAACCCACATATCACTGCCAAATGGGCCCCCAAACTTCACTTGCATTCCCCAAGTACAAAAGGTTAAGTTAATCACACTCCTCAGTTCATGGCACATTACCATCATTCATCTGTACAGGACCCCACCTTTTGATTTCTTTCCTTCCATATTCATTTCTTATCCTCAAACCCATTCCCAATGAGTTATTTCTTCTAATGTATTTGATGAACATTCTTCTGTTTGTATATATTCTCTTTACCCTCTGCACTAGATTTTTAAAATCAATTCAAGTTGCTGTGAGATATTTAGTTGTTTCTGATTGATGCAAAGTACTCCCCATGTTGTCTATTCACTCCCACAGCAATAGAGAACTCAGTATCTTTAACTGCCAGCCACCAGAAACAATGCTACAATGCAGTACCTCCTGTTATGGCCCTCTATGAACCTGCATGAGAATCTCTGGTTATATGTCCAGGAACAGCACTACTAGATCCAAGTGAATTTTGTCAACTAGATGATGAAAAACTGCTAAATAGTTCTCCAGAGTGGTTGCACTAATCTCCATTCCTGGAGATTCCTATTTCGCTACATCCCAGACAAGATTTGGCATTATCCAGTTCTGCCTTCTAACTTTTGCTCACATAGTGGGTAAAACTAAAGGCTTGTTTTAATTCAGACTTTTCTCTTTAAAAAAAAAAAAAATTATTTTTAGAGAGCGGGGAAGAGAAAGAGAAAGAGAGGGACAGAAACATCAATGTGTGGTTACTTCTCATGCACACCTAACTGTGGATCTGGCCTGCAGCTCAGGCACGTGCCCTGACTAGGAACTGAACTGGTGGCTCTTTGGTCCGCAGGCCGATACTCAGTCCACTGAGCCACACCAGCCAGGGCAAGACTTTTCTTATTAAAATGAATTTTAGCATTCTTTCATGTGTCTGTTTCTTGTTTTGCGAATTCCCTACTTGTTTCTTTTGCTCTTTTTCTGCTTGGGTCCCAGTCTTCATGTTGAATTAAAGAAGTTTCTTTGATATTCTCGATATTAATTTATTAATAGGTTTAATTATTGTAAATATCTTCCCCCAAAAGTTACCTGCTTGTTAACAATGTTCATGTATTTTTTTGAAATGAAATTCTTCCTGTTGTATCATCAAATTAACAATTATTTTCATCTTACGGTTTCATGCTTTTGAGGGTTTAAGAAATACTTTCCTAATACAAAGTCACAAAAATGCATTATGTTTTATTTATGGTCTATCTACATTTTGGTCATTAATCTATCTGAGGCCCTTCTTTATAAACAGCGTTACATAAGGACTCAATTTTACTTTTCCCTATATTGTGAGCCAGTTTTCCCGTACTATTGGGACAGTCTATAATATTTAACCAATCAATTTATAATTCTATCTTTATCATTAAAAAAATCTTATTGATTATGCTATTACAGTTGTACCAATTTTTCCCCCTTTCCCCCCTCCACCAAATACTCCCTATTCCCTCTGGTAATCCCCCCACTTAGTTCATGTCCATGGGTCTACATATAAGTTCTTTGGCTACTCCATTTCCTATACTGTTTTTACCACTCCCCGTTTGTTCTGTACCTACCAATTTGTACTTCTTAATCCCTGCATCTTTTTCCCATTCTTCCCCTTCTTCCTCCCACCTGATAACCCTCCAAATGATCTCCATATCTATGATTCTATTTCTGTTCTGCTTGTTTGCTTAGTTTGTTATTTAGATTCAATTATTGATAGTTGTGAATTTATTGCCATTTTAACGTTCATCATTTTGATCTCCTTCTTTTTCTTATGTAATTTCCTTTAGCATTTCATATAATAATGGGTTGGTGATGATGAACTCCTTTAGCTTTACCTTGTCTGGGAAGTACTTTATTTGCCCTTCAATTCTAAATGACAGCTTCACTGGACAGAGCAATCTCTGTTGTAGGTCCTTGCTTTTCATCACTTTGAATACTTCTTGCCAGTTCCTTCTAGCCTGCAAACTTTCTTTTGAGAAATCAGCTGACAGTCTTATGGGAACCCCTTTGCAGGTAACTATCTGCCTTTCTCTTGCTGCTTTTAAGATTCTTTCTTTAACACTTGGCATTTTAATTATGAGGTGTCTTGGTGTGGTCCTCTTTGGGTCATTCTTGTTTGGGACTCTGTGCTTCCTGGACTTGTATATCTTTTTTCTTCACCAAATTAGGGAAGTATCCTTTCATTATTTTTTCAAATAAGATTTCAATTTCTTGCTCTTCCTCTTTTCCTTCTGGCACCCCTATGATTCAGATGTTGGCACATTTAAAGATGTCTCAGGGGTTCCTAGGCCTCTCCTCTTTTTCTTCTTCCTGCTGTTCTGATTGAAGTCTTTTTCCTTGTGTTCCAAATCATTGATTTGATTCTTACCTTCATCCCCTCCACTATTGGTTCCTTGTATATTTTTCTTTTTTTCACTTAATGCAACCTACACTCTTGCTTGGGTCTTTTATATGCTGCTGAGGTACCCAATGAGTTCCTCAATGAGCATCCTAATAACCAGTGTTTTCAGCTCTGCATCTGATAGATTGCTTATCTCCATTTTGTTCTGTTCTTTTCTGGAGTTTTATTCTGGTCTTTCATTTGGGCCATATTTCTTTGTCTCCTCATTTTGGCAGACTCCCTGTGTTTGTTTCTCTGTATGAGGTAAGACTGCTTTGACTCTCTGTCTTACAGCGTGGTCTATTGTAGAAAAGTTCACCCATAAGTTGGATGGAAAGGAGTCTTAAGTAATCGTCAGGGCAGTGCAACCCATGTGAACCAGGTTGGTGAAGTCCCAGATATGGTGTTGCTGTTCTGTGGCTCTGTGTGGGAGAGGGCTTAGAAAAGGGAAAATGGCTGTTACCAGGCCTCTGGAGTTTCGTCCAAGAGGAAGCTGTCCCTCAGCACTTACTCTGACACTGGACA